CAGACAAATTACTTTCTTTTTCCTGGGGTGGAATAAGCAGGAGGAAGGGGAGGGATAGAGATTGGGGTAGATGGGGGTTTGAGGGGGTGAAGAATTAGAAGGAAAAGAAAAAAGGGAGAGATCTTTGCAGACACTCTATGAATCTCTGCTTGGCAGCTGAGAACAATGAGAAAAGCAAGCAATTACCTCGAATCCTTCCCCTTATCCAGACATAGGAAATATATTCCTGCCTGAGCCTTTTTTCTCATCTCTCTCCCTCCCTCCCTTGCCCTCCCTCTCTCTCTCTTTGCCCCTCTCCCTCTCTCCTTCCCCTTGTATAGCTAATTTAATTCTTTGAGGCAAGGCAGATGTAACAAAGAAAGGAGGGTCTGTGTCGACGGCCCACTTCCTCCATGGCAAACGTCCTTTTCCATTCCCTGCCCTGGCAGACTTCTGCAACCTCTGAAGCAGCATCCACAAAAAATGAGTAGAAAGGTATTTTATAGCTCCAACTCTTTCACAGATTTCTCCCAAATAAAGTGGTGTGAATACTATATCACCCTGTCTGGGTGCAGGAAGCGGTGTGTTCTTTATCTTCAGAAATCCACCCCAGAGGGGCAAACAGAGCCCTTTCTCCATATTTCCCTCAACTCTTGTATTCAATGACCTCTTTACTAGTGGCTTCTATATTCTCCTGGAATTCCTCTAGGATTTAAACTATTGTTCTTGAATCTTTTCTACCTTCTTTTTTCCAAAGTAACATTTGCAAATGTTTCCTTAGGTTGCCACGTCCATAATGAGGATGTCCCTGGATGTTTCCACTCTGGCTGTCACCACCTTTGCTCACTGTGTCACCTGAAGGAAAATGGGCATTGCTGTGGCCTGGTGCCCTGCACTACCTTCCGTGTAGGACCTGTGTCCACTCACTGTGCTGTGGGAACGATAGTTTGCATAAAGATATTTTGACCCTTCAATTGCTGATAAACCTTTAGCTAGCAGGTTTGTTTTTATTTCTGAGGGAATAAATGATACAGGTGTGCTTGCTGCTGATGGGATCGTTGCTCTTGTTGGTCAACCCTGATTCATGCACCAACAGCTGAAGGTGTGGAGCTACCCTGGGTCTGCAGCATCCTGGAGAGTTGAGTATAGTGCCCAGAATTGCCCCTGTGCACCCTGGCAGCAGGGCCCAGTGTGGCTGATGGGCTCAGCATCCAGCACAGCTGGAGCTGTGAGTGTTTCACTCTGTGGGGTACCCCCATAGGACCCCTCCACATGCTGTGTGCACCATATCGGCTCTGCAGGACTTTTTGGGTGCCTCAGGTGATGCTGCCAAGTGCAGCTCTCAGAGCTATCACTGACATTTCACAGCTCAGCCCCATGATGGTGTGTCCCAGATGTTGCCCTCCCCAGCCAGGGTGCAGGCAATTCATCCCCTGTCCCGCTGCACTGATTGGTCACAGCACAGCCCCCTCGGGGGTACCAGGCACCAGCTCTGTCCCCAAAGCTGAAATATTTGCCAGCCTCCCATGAGCAGTCTGCCACTGCACAGGACCATGGGTGCGAGCCCCCTGGTCAGCTGCCTCCCCCTTCCCACCCTGGGATTTGGCATTGGGCTTTCAGGAGAACATCCATGATTTTGTTTGTGCTCTGCTCTCTTACCCAGACCTTTTCCTTGCACTGTTTGCAGTCACCCCAACACCTGCTTATTGTGATTTAAAAGTGGACAAATTGTCTGTTTCCGTTGCCTTTGCTTTTAGAAGGAAACCGAAACCACTATTAGACTTTTAATAATTTAAGATAAAAATGCCGTTCCTTAAGAACGTTTTCTGGCTATATTTTTGCAGTAGGGGGATAGAAAGGAACATTACAGGAAATTTAAAGGAGGCTTTTGGTATTAAATCTTCACCTTTTCCAGAAGATAACGCAATTCCGTAAATCTGTGAGAGACCTTTGTTTAACCCACCCCCCGCTATCGCAGGCGAGGTTTTATAGGCGCCTGTCTTGGTGCCGCTCACAGGCTGTGTTTTACATAATACCCTTCAGCATCACTGATATTAACCTTGATGGCATTATTATTGCTATTTACAGCTCATATGCTGGTAATGGTAAACCTGAATGGGATTAATAAAATAAATTAAGTGATAGAAATATTAATGCTATTAACAATCAGTAACAATAGTTGACAGCATAAGAAAAGGAATAACCTGCCATTAACCAAGCAGGGTAAGGTATCTCTAGCATATGCATAAAGGTATCTGACACTTCATTTTGATAAACCCTAGATTAATTTTCTTTCAAGCAACAACTTTCCCAGCGCTTTCATGCTTCTCTGTTTCAAAACTGAGCTGTTGGCACGTTTCCCACGTCACCTTTCTGATGACCAAGAGCCCGATTCACTGTAGGGCAGGCTCAGGGCAGGAGCTCTGTGATGAGGACAGAGCCCTTGGGCTCCAGCTGCTGCTGCTGCTGCTGGGTTTTGGTCCCACATAGATCCTGGGCTTCATGAAGCTGCTGCAACACATTCTCTGTGCTCCCAGTCTGCGTTTCCAGCCCCCCCCCCCTAAAATTACAGCCTGCTTCTGGGTGCAGATTTCCAGCTGAAGGACTGACCAGTGGTGCATGACTGTTTCTGAACGTGCCATTCACATTTTCATGTATCCAGCTAAGGGATTCTGAGCCCTGGTGTAGGAGCTGTTCAACATCAGTTTGTGTTGATCTAATGTTGCATGGGTGGGCACTGCTGGGGACCTCTCCTCTCCCTCCTTGCCACTGCAACACCAGCTTTGGAATGGGGGAAGGTGACTTTCTGATGAACTGTGAGGGAAGTGGTGACCTCTGGGCTCTTTAGGTGGGTCGCTGTGAGTTTTGCCAAAGCCTGTGAGAACAGAAATGCCAGTCTGTCTTCCTTTTCATTCCTTATGGGAAGCTTTTCCTATGCCAGAGTGCAGGTTTATCAGATGTGACCATGTTTCAGTGGGTTTCTGGACTAATGCACTGACTGACCTCATACACCACTGCTCATGGGTCAGACACCAAGGCTGCTGTGGGGATTATTTAAGCACACTGGAAAATTCCCTGCCTAATAAGGTGAGCGAAGGGTGGTAAGAAAAAAGCATTGCTAATTTTTTTTCCTCTTAGAAATGCATCTTGCCAATCCTTTACAGCTGGCTAAAAGCTGGGATTTCTTGCGCTAAGAAAGAAAGTGAGACCATAAATAAACCAGTGCAGGACACCTGGAAAGAATAAAGTGCCCTTCTCAATGTTGTAGGGGAGGAGGAATTGGTGTCTGCCTGGCTGGTACATGGAAATGGAGTGGGGAAAGAAGCCTCAGATCCGGCCAGTGAGGAGATGCTCACAATAGTTTTCTTTCATAACATTTTCTCTGCTGAAACATATATTTTTAACGTTACTGATAATAGTAAGTCTGGAATGGAGAGCCCTTGCCACTATTCCAACAGTGCCATCTTTGGTCAGAACAGAGGCTGAAACCTGTTTCTCAATATAAGCCCAAATTTCAATCCCCTCTGCTGAAGGCAGAAAATGGATCAGCTCCAAGGGCAGGGGATTCCCAGGAACCCTAAAGGTCAATGGTGTTGCATGGTGTTGTGACAGTCTAGAGAACAGACTGTGCAACTCTTTTCTTTCATGTTTCAGATTAGCTTGTGTCCAGATTTCAAACGTGTTGGATTTTGGCTATGGTAAGGAAACCCCCTCTTTTAGTAACACACGTTCTCTTTGCTTTCTGGTGGGGAGAAAAAGGCCAAACCACCTGAAATATCCCTTAGACGACTCCTCTCAGTAGGAATTGGCTTCCCCTCAATTCTCAACCCCTTTTTTTAGAAGTGACTGAAGAGGAATAGTGGACTGTAATCTAGAGACATGAAATATCACCACAAAACTGCATTGTTTCACAGATGCACCTTATCTCTGATGCACTCCCTGCCACTCTTAGAACCTGATACTCTTTCCAAAGCGCTTCAGACCTGTCCATTCATTATCTACACAGGGAGCAGATAAATAAGTACACACGCTTTTCCTCAGACCCTGGAAAAGCTTCAACCTGGCATCCAGAGGGGCCCTGTGCCAGCGATGCCCATCACTGCATGCCTTTGGTCCTTTGCTGTAGTGGGAGGTGACAACCGTGCCCATGAGTTTCATTCATCTGCATGTTCGAGAGTGAGCCTGGGGCATCTGCTGCATTAAACAGGCATTTCCCACCAAGATGTATTTAATGCTTCTCCATGCTGTCTCCATCTTTGCTGCTCCACTCTTGACTACCAAGGTATTTCCTCTGTGGTCCTCTGTCATCTGGTGCTGTCCCATTCCCTCCTGCATGCCAAGGTCTGTGTTTGGTGTCACCGTGCAGTGCCCTGATGCGGTGGCAGGATCCCAGCCACTGCCTTATGGAGAGGAATGGGAGAGATTGCTCTGGCTTGTTCTAAGGGAAGTCACTGGAGGCAGTTAGGCAAATTCAGCAAATACAGAAACCAATGAATGACCGTCTTTTGCAATAATGTGCTGATACACAGCTGGTGTATTTCAGTGCTGATTTAACACCAAAACGTTGACGTGGGAGCACTTCTGGAGAGAGACAATTCCTTTGGCCCTGGAATTACTGAGTAGTCTTGTGATATTAAGAAAATTCCTCTTATTAAATTGATATTTGCCTTAATCATCCATTAGCCATTACTTAGCTCCATTAGCATTTGAGCCAATATTACAGTTTATTCGAGGAAGAATACTATTTTCTGTTTAGTTTGTTCTTGGTGAACTTAAAATGGCTGCACTGTGCTGTAAGATGGAGCCTCGCTTCTGTATAGACAGAAATGGAATTAGCAAACGTAAATTGTATTCAAAATAGTGGTTCCTGTTTTATCTCATTGTGTTTTGCCTTCCTCCTGGTACTCCTCTCCTTTCCTCATAAGCTGTCCCAGCCCCTTTTGACAGTGTAGCAAATAGTCATTACAGTGGAGATTTTTTTATCCACTGGTTTAACTTGCATATTTCTGCTTCTCTTGCAGTGAGGCTGTGAGGCTGCTAGTTAAAGTTACAGCACGACATTGGTTTTCCCACACGCTTTTACTCAGAAGGCTTATAAAATTGCCTGGGAGAATTCCGGCCAGGTAAAGACCTGCCTTAAGATGTGTAAACCTGGGAATCATTTTTTTTTTAATGTTACAAAAAAAAAATTTCAAAATACAATTTACTTTACTATTTTTAACTTGACATCATTCTGGCTGTGCGAGTTTCTAAGCACCTTCAGTTCCCATTTATTTTAGTGTTCACCATCTCCTAACAGCAATTCAACATCTGAAAGGTTTGGATCCAAAAGGGTTTTGTAAGAATAATGCCAGGCACGTGGGGGAGGGGGTCAAACGATCAAAGAGAGGGAGTTTAATATTGTTGCCTGAGCCTGGTTCGAGGCGCATGTTTTCTAAGCATGGCTTTTTTGTTGTTTTTTTTCCCTTCCTTTTACACTGACTCCAAGTCAGCCCTTTAGCAAGTCACTTAACCCCTAAATCTATTTTTCCATCTGAAACCAATAACACCATGGTGATAAGGAATCTGTAAGTACTAATTATTCTTCTTATTATTCATAATTTTACTCCAAGTGGGGCTGGCACTAGGTGTAATTGTTTTTATTACAGAATAATACTGGAAACAACCATTTATAAACCTCGGTAAATCTGTAGAAACATTTACTCTCAAAGTTTCATGAAGCTTTTTATGATTTCCACACATATTGTGGTTAACGTTTCCAATTAAGCTATCATACATACTGCATATATTATGTAATTATACTAGGCACAGAAGGAGCAACTTAGAAATTACAAGACAAGGGCACATACACAACAAAAATTTAATTAAAAATGTGAAAGGCAGAAGAGGCAGAGAGAAAAACAAATTTCAGGAAAGTAATAGTCTAGATTAAAAATTATTCAGCACCCTAACTCTAATGGGATACCATTTTAATATTCAGCATTCCATGCCAATATTGGATGTTTAAATCCTGAAATGTGAATTTCCATGCTTTTGTGACATTGACTCACGATCTTAACGTCCTTTTAATGTACTTTTTGTTGTGTAAATCTGTGTAAGTACCATCAGTCATCAAACTTGACATCTGATGGCGTGATGTAGACCCAGCCTGCATGTATTAGGGCTTTTTGTGTTTGTGCAGTGGAACCTACTTACACAAATTCCACTGAAGGCATAAACCTGTTAAAGGAATACATTTCCTTTACACTGAAACAATAGACTGCATCAAAGGAACATCCAGGGAAAGAATAAGTAATTTAAAAAGATAAATTTCTTTTCTGCAAAAAGGCAAAATGTACAGACAGCCTGACCCGCAGAAGAAATGATTCTGTTGACTTATCAAGGCAGTGTGCAAACCGAATTAGAATTTAGATGATCATTTAAAAATTATCAAACAAGAATCCAGGCAACACCTTGTGCTTTTAATGCACTGCTATGGTTTGAGGTGATTTAGAAAAAATTAAGGAAAATGTGAATGAGAACATTCCCAGCATCCTTAACGGTATTCTATTCCTACCCCCTGAACTTCAGATCAAGGCTAAAGCTTAACTTACAGACTTCGTCATAACAAGCAAGAAGCCACAAATAATATTTTTAAGTGGTAATCCCAGTGCCACCATCAGGGTAGAGGCATCTTCCAGCCACTCAACTGAGAGGATGGGATGGGTGTCCATTCCCTAAAACCTCTGTCTCACCACATCCACCTGCAGCGTTAACGCTCCTCTCAGCTGTGGGGAAAGGGGAGTGAAGAAAAGGGGCTTAGGAGCAGGGTTTGCTTCTGGCAGGACAGGTATCTTCTTGCTGCTCTTTATTTTAAAGATGAGAAAGCTGATGTCCACACTGACTACGGAGAGGTCTCTGAAAAGTGCCAGGAAAAAGCCTCATAAAGTTCCTATCTCAGTATATTCTCCAAAATCTTCTTCCCAGTGGGGCAGAGGGGAATTGCACAACGCTCAGGGAAAAAGGGAGAGCCACTCTACACGCAACCTGGTCAAGGTCCTGCTGAAGACCAGAGGGGCCAATTGATGGACTTTGCTTTCTGGCACAGTGCTTGCAAGGATTCCCCAGCTAGCACCTATGCACGATGATACGCATATCTGGATGAAGACAGACATGCTGAGTCCATCACTGTGAGCACCAGGCGGAACATCCCATCACTGGACTTCTTCCAGGCTGGGTGTCTGGATGTCCGGCTGCCTCTCTGTCAGCAGACCCAAAGTCCTGCATTTCCCTGTGCAAGAATAACCTCTTCACAAACATGGGTGACAGTGCAGCTATGACACACAGTGCCAAGCATGGGGCTTGCCCGAAGTGGCAAAGAGCTGTCTTGATGCCTTGCACCAATGAAAAAGTGGATTGCCTGCAGCTACAGCACGTACCAGGAGCTGAACCACTGTCCCTCTGGCCAATCCATTACCCCTATGGCACATTGAAGGCATTCATACTCCCTTATGAATTTAAAGTATATTATTTACCTACCTGACATACTTGAGCTCTAAGTATACTTTTATGGGTATCTGCTCTGCATTTGGCACTCCTAGCTGGAGTTTGGGCCAAATTCGGCCTGTGAGTAGATTCATTGCTGTCATTTGGATTTGTAGTGGCAGCATTTGCCCATTATTGTGTTATTTTAATTCCCTCAAGAATCTAATGAAAATTAAGTGAAAAAATAAGGCTTTCTTTATTCTATTTTCAGAATGATGGATTGATAGAAGGACGGGCAACTTATACTTGTAGGCTGAAGATTTTATGCATATATACATAACAGATATGGAGACAGAATTTTTCCCTTATGGCAATGGAATGGTTTTGATAGTCTTCATTAAAATAGATTTGAAAATACCATTTGTTTTATGTTTAAACCTTAAATTAAATTTTTCAATAATAAAGTATGCTTATTATAACCCAATTCTATCAATCACTGAAATGAACAGCACATTGGTGGGTTCAAGCAAGTAAATAAATAAATATGTTATTTTTATTGCATGTCAGGAAGGCTTCTTGGATAGAATTCTTCCCTCTGAACTGATGGGTTAGAGGTTTAAGCATCGTATCAAAGATTTGTACTAATATCGAGTGCTGATCCTGCCTCTCAGTGCCTCGGACAGAGGGTGGCAGTTCAGGCAAAGTGTAAAAGCATGTTGTGCTCTGTCCAAGCCAGGGGTAGTGTTCCCCTGGTCCCTTTGAAGAGGTGCCACTCAGGGCCTCAGTAAAGAGTACCTCTTTGTAGATGTGGTATTTTGAGGTATAAGTGATGTGTGATATTCTGCAAAGATAGTTTTTTTAGTTGTTGCTATAGATCTTCCAGCTGCTGCATTTGTCTGGGGTCACTGTGATAGTTAAACTGACCATTTTAATAAGTGTTTGGAGAGACCTTGAGTAAGAAAAGAGTTTTAGATAAAATTCAAAGAGGCCACATTCTTTGTTGGAAACAGGCATGGGTATGGAGGGCATCTTGCCCCTCGGTCAGTTCAGAGTTTTGCACTACAAAGACTTTGCAAAATTTTTCCTATGCACAACTAAATAATTCCCTACAGAAGGCAGGACAGGTATCCTCTTAGCTGGACAGATACGGCTAGGTGAACCTGGAGTGAATCTTGAACATGTCTGAGAGGCATTTGAAAGCGTCTAGAGCTGCTTGAGTCGGGCTCTAAGCCTCCATGTCCCAGGCTTCTGTCTCCACTAGGTTCAGAGCAGCTCTAGGAAAGATGCACAGCCACTGTTCTGCTGTTGTATTCCTGTGACTGATCACTGTACCAGGCACATGTCCTGTGTCCCTTCATGTCTCATGGAGCACCGAACCCCCAACCCCCAGATGGCTGCTGATGCTGGGTGCAGACATGGGGTGAGCTGTGTTCCTTGGCTGTGTCCTGCACTCTGACACTTGCTCTGTGCATGTGGAATGCTGCTGACCATGCCCAGCTTAAGCTGCCTCTCCCAGTGGCACAGGACAGACAGACCCTTGCACAGAGCAGCTCTGCTGTAGCAGGCGTTAGCTGAGCTCAGTGGCTGGCGGGCAGATGGTGCAGGTCATGGGGCATAACTCTCATTAACTTGTAGCTGAAAGCCTGTGCTCTTGCATTCTGTAATATCATGGCCTGTGAACACTCTATAAAAGGAGACCCAAATGAATCATATTACAGTAGCCTGGAGAAGAGGTCACAAATCTTTTTGAAGAAGAGCCACTTCTGGCCACTGCTGAAACATGAACTTCCACATGTATCCTGTTATAAAAAATGAATTCCATGTTGGGAAACTTATTGACATGTTTGGGCATATAGCTCATAGACAGGGAGAGCTACTAACACCCCAATGACACCTTCCAGATGTTCTCCCCTCAACAATTATCTGTCTTATCCAGGCTGGCTTGCTGCTCCACAGACATCTCTGGGCAGGCAGGATGACAGCCGCTGAAGGCCACTGGCAGGTTTGGCAGAGGTGGGAATGTTCTAGCAGGCTGAATAAACTCTGAGTACTTTGTGTTATCCATCATTAACATGGCTAAAATGAAAGAGTGGGGACAGAGTTCAGAGGTAGCCTTTTGTTCAAACACAGAGACGTTGCCCCTCCAGGTTCTCCTGGAAAAAGCAGCATTTCCTGACCAGGTTTCTGTTCTTCCAGCCCATGCTGGTCACCATGTAGAGTGTGGATCTACACACGGATGTGTATACCAAGGCATGAACAACTTAGAGGTGGTGAGGTAGCAGATCATCAACTACCATGAGTGTCACAGAGAGAAAACCGTCTGTGACACATTGAAGGCTGTTACCAAATTAATGGGAAGCATGACAAGGTGAGAGGCACTCCCCATGGGTTATTTTAGCAAAGCAGGTTGGTCCCAGTGCACAGCGGTTAATCCAGAATCCCTGTGGTCTCGTAAGGCTGTGAGGCTCCAGCCTGCAGCTTCCAGACCCTGCTCTCATCAGTGTCCAAGGGTCCGTTTCATCTCCCAGCCCACCCTGCTGTCACTTGAATGGGGCAGCAGTCAATGCAGCACTCAGGTACAAGCAGAAAGTTAAAAAAAAAAAACATTTTCCCAAGAAGACAAAATAAAAGAAAAATGTTTTTCACCAAATAACAGGTGAAATATCTTTGCAAAGCTGTTTTGGGGTTGAAACATGAAGAGCAGAGCTTGCATGGGTCTTTTGTTTTACAGAATTTACAAAAGCACAGCGAGCAGCTGCAGCAAAGCCCACAGAAGGGATTGCTTGACCATGTGAACAGTGCTCAGGAAAAGGGGGTTACCAATTCAAACAAGAAATAACATAACGTCCGATCTGGGCTGGCAGTTTCTCACCCTCTCCTCACTTTTTGTCCCTTGGGAAGTAAAAAGAACTGAGAAGAACAGAACTTAGTTTTTAACGAAAAAAAAAAGATAAAAGGAGGCAAAATTTAGATTGGCTGGACACCTTCAGAATGTAAGGCCAACGTTCCTCAAACATCGCATTTTTGGGGCACAAATGCAACACTCTTGAGATTACCATTAATTGTGTTTTGCTGTTTGTGACTTGAGGCTCATGATGTCATTTTGTCTTTATCTGTGAATGAACCTGGGTATAACATAATGTGAACATGACAAAGTGTGCTGGAATGCCAAAAGCTAAAGAGAAACATATGACTTCTGGGCTGAATACCTGCTTTGCTCTAGTATCTAAGAAGAAGAAAGTTGGGATGTGAAAACAGGGTGAACAGTAAGAAGAGAAAAAAATTTGGCACGTCTTTTGTTGAAATTCTATCCTCCCCCTCCCTCGTATGCCCAGAAACCATCTGCAAACTTTTCAATCATTTTTTAGGATACAGTGAATTTTATCATAATTTTGTCAACCAAAACCATATGTGCTTTTTCTATTGACAACATAGAATAACAAAATCATATTTGTTCAAACCACAAGGCAGGTAATAAATAACTGTGGACACACTGCTATGTTACAACTTAATGTGGTTTTCTTTTTTAAAGAAAAGTATTGAATATTACCAAAAAATTTAATTTGGGAGGTAAAGTAAACTTCTGAAGAGAAAACCATCTGAGAGAAAGCTTGTGGCTCAATAACTTTCCCCTTCCTGTTAGACCAATTCTAGCTCGCTGTCCTGAGGCCATAATAAAATGAGATCTTCCACTGCCTGCCTTCATCTGTGTGTGGTGTCGATGCAGATGCAAACTGCAGGTAACGGCTGCAGCATGTCCCTGCTGCACACACGTTCTGCACTTGGCTCCCCGAGCTCACACTGGACATTGCTCTGAGAAGCTCGGGTCCCTGAGGTTGAAAGATTAAATGTGAGTTGAAGTAATTCAGGACACGCTTCCTTGTAATACACCCACCAAGAAAAATCTTTCCTTACTGATATTAGACAAGCTAATCTTCTCAGGTGTGACCGGATATTGCCAGAACCATGCAAAAATCATCACTCTAGAGCATCGGAATTGTCCTGCTCTAGGTTCTTTGGTGACAAGCGACATTTGCTTATTCTTTGGGTCTAAAAATGCAGAAATCTGGAACACAAGTAGGTGCCTAAAGCACTTTAGAGAAGTCAGCCTTTTTTTCTTTCCTTTTCTTCCCCGTGTCTGTGTGTGTGTGGATGGAGGAAGCCGTTGCAAACAGCAGTGGGCCCAGCTGCTATCACCAAAATTCCAGCGGGGAACATGGCATGGATATGTTAATGGCACTAATTAACCACTGTAAAAGGTTACTGAAGAAGCTGGTGGACTCTGTCTCAGGTTATCTATAACTTGGACAACTTTCCTGGTCAGTGCTTCAACAAGTCTTTGAGCTTAAAGGATGAAAATTATTATAGTGTGATTACACCAAGTATGGGTCAAGTGATTTACAGAAAAATATCTAAGAATCCATGTGTAGACAAACATATGGTTTTAATATGATTATATATATTGCATTAATAAACATGCAATTGTCATTGTGTTAACAGTGATAAACAAGCTTAGGTTTTTATAGTAATGCCTCATGAAGGTTGACCGGGGGTCTTGGTTGGATCTCTGCCACTTGACTTTGCACAACTGCTCTTTACCTGGGCGTTGAAGTGCATGCAGAAAAGCTTGTGCTCCACTGCAAAGTGCTCTGCAATCTGACAATGAAAAGATACAGGTAAAATTCCCTATTGGAAAGGTTACTGCATTCTCCTGGCTGTATCCATTTTAATACAGTACTTCCTCACACGCCTTCATTAGCCACAGTGTTTGACTCTGCCATATTGTTTTCATTTTTTTCTTCTACATAAGAATGAGACAAACAGAAAGACATAAACCTTGGTCTGAAAAATTTACTTTTAAAACTATGCTTATTTATTATAATAATACCCCGAGACTTCAGCTGAGATGTGGCCTTGGGGTGTTGTGATCAAGCAGGAATACAGAAAGTTCCCCTTGAAACCTTCTGGGTCTGAACAGCACAAAGCAAAAGTGGGGAAATTCTATAAAGGAAAAGAGGGGAAGTTCTATAATTTTTCAGCAAAGATAATGATAAAATAATTAACAGACTTTGCACGTCTTTAAAACCCTCCTGCTAAGTTCTTGATGATCTTAACAAATAATCAATTAAAGCCTTCTGAGATTAGTGAGCATTATTATCCCTGGTTTATGGATTAGGTGACTGAGGTACAAAGGGATTAAATTCTCAGCCCTGTACCTCCCACCTGGGGCAGCTTCCTCCTGCCCTGAGCCCTCGTGCACTGGTGTAAATGCCAGGGCACACCATGACACAAGAGCAGCTTCTGAGGCACTTTTTAGGATGCCCCGTGGGATAATCTGAGGGACATCCAGCTGTTTAAAGTCTGCTTTTTGATCAGTTAATACTGATCTTTGATTAGTTAATACCTTCTCCCATTCTA